GAAACTCCTACATGGCGTGACCTCGCCCATGTCTGGAGGAAGAACGTTGAGCTGCGGCAACTTCGACCAAAAGCGGCGCTTCGCTGCCTGCCTGTTAGCGTGCGTCAGCTGGGTATTGCGTAAGAAACGCTATAGCCTTGGCTGCCGCCGTTGCGCTCTTTGGGAGCGGTGGCTCACGCGTGCTTCCTTCACGGTCGTGCTTCCTTCGTCCAAGGTGGCGCCAGAGAAATGCCGACCGTGCGCTTGTCACAAACGTTGGGGCTCCACTCCCCAAACACACCGAACCACCTTCTGAGGATGTGGTTGGAGCCCCAGGGAAGGTCATGTCTGGTGTGGCCAGCAGGCCCGGCGTCACCCTGGCCCCAAACCGCGCGAATGGTGGCAGATTCCGAGCAATCTCCTGTGCCAGCCGACATTGGGACTAAGATGTTGATGAGCCAAGTCCAAGCGCATTGGCAACCCTTCAAGAATTCTTCAAATATAATTTACAGATTTGTACAGTACCTAGTATCTTTGCAGCCCTCACTCTCCTCGGGTTGCAGGGCTGCCTTTCTCTGATTTTGCAAAACTGCTCCATGGAGCCCTCAGCCATACTCCGGAAGAACTCAGCCAAATGGCGTTGAAGTTGGTTTCCAAATCAAAGCCCCGGAAGATGATGCCGACAATCACTGGCACCTGGGAAGGATGGGGAGATGGTAGGGACTGATTCAGCTGGTGGGTGTTGCCAGGTTTGGGAGTCAGTGGGTAGTGGAAACCGATGCTTGCGCATCTAAAAAAGGAATAGAACTAGTAGTTTCTAGAACCATAGTTCAAGTACTTTCTGACAACCCCTTTCATTCACCTGGTCAACCTTGAGGCTTTGGTCGCGGGAGGTTTGCAGTGACGACCTCGCGAGAAGAAGGCGTTGGATGTGGCACCTTACGTGTCCAACCCTAGGGATCGGCATTGCCAAAGGATTTGGTCAGTGTGCCAGGTGGGAGGCTCCAATTACTTTCCAATATGCTGCAAAAAGGCCCCAGGTCGACCAGTCTTAGGTCGATCCATCAAATCGGTTGGGCATCCATGAAAGAGTTTTTTCGGCATGAACATCCCGGGTGGTTGAAGACTTGGACATATTTGGACCACAGACTTGAGGTTTTCCCGTGCTTGACCCTCCCAAAACAAACAACTACAACAAAAAACTCCCCTTCCCACCAAACCTAGCAGGCTATCATGTATATGTTTTGGCCAGAGAAATGTTGGTAAGAAGATCCGATCATCGAGTGCTTCCAAACACCCATGGGACCGGCATCTTTGATCATGGGAGCGCTTAGTCTCAGAGGTTCCTGTCAAGAAGCATCTTTCACCCCAAAACCCGCCGGTTCGTGTCTGGATGTTTCGGTCGAAGCCACCAGTGCACCCACCCATCACTTGACGCCCAAGAATCTGCCACCACAAGGGCGTAGAAGAACATCAACCGCCGAGGCCGTTTCGTCACCTACGAGGGACCAAGACGGAGATGTTCGACTTAAGGTCTTCAAAATGTTGGGGCGTCCATATCCAGTTGTCGTGGAAAACACTGTGGAATATGGAGAAATAATATGGGTCAATTATATTGAAACATATTTCAGTTGAAGATATTCTTGTTGAACTATTTCCAAATACTGACAAATGTGTATTATGTAACATCATGATACGCATTATCAATGCTCACGTATTGCAACAAATGTGGTCTTTCTTGAAGCTATTTCAGCTGTTAAGTTATATATAGCTGTTAATCGTTGACAAAATAATTGAATAGTGGCATCTACATATCCGACCATTATACTTTATCAGTTCTCAAATATTGACCGTCGATTTAATTCAAGGTCAATCACTGAACTTGCAAGCTTTAACTACAGTATTCAAACTGATGTTCAATTGAGATTTGTGATCGTGAAACCAAACAACATAAGTTCAAGATATACAATTCAACATCAGTAGGGATTGATGCTTCTTGTTTGAAGATATGATGGAAGAAAGAGGCGAAAATGAACGGGACGAAGCAATCAAAAAGGAGCTATCATACAGTATAATATATATATATATATGGTTATAAATATATATATATATATGTGGCAGGCACTGTTTCAATTGTTGAAGGCAGCTTGCCCTATATTGTGAATATAGAATAAATAGATATTGTAGCAAAGTACGGTCATTTGGTCATGAGTCCTGCGCTGCTGGTGATGATGTATGTTGATGTGTGACTTGAGTTGCCATGAGGCCATGAGCTGCCACAGCCTGGCTGTCAGAGATGACGACCTTACACCCTAAAATGACGTGCGCTACTTAGTTTACTCATGCTTTTCCGGAACACGGGAATCCTTGGAGAAGTCCAAAGTGTGGCGCCCTCTCCACAGCCGTTCTCCGTTCTCTACAAACGCTCGTGACTTTTGGGGCTGGAGCCTGCAGTAAACTATACAGTAGTGCCTGCAGTATACGATCTCAAAACCTTTGGGAGGTAGTAAGGCATCATACATCGATCTTGCAGAGGCACGGGCTGCTGGTGAGTTGTCACTGCTCCGTCCTGTCGTAATTTGTGATCCAGTGATACACTGCTTGTAGCGTTACCAACAACCTTACCCCACTGTTTGTTGAGCTGGGAAGTTGCCAGCAAAGAGATGTCCAGGACAACAAGAGTTGAAGAGTCACGCAAACCAGCGAAAAATCAGCGAAAATTGCCTGCTCAGAAAATTCTGAGGCGGCGGCCGCAGCTGAGAAAGTGGGAGGGTGGGTGGTTTTAAGGTAGGAATTATAATGATTTATAGGGCTTGTTCACAGCGATCTAAAGCGTCCAGCTCGTTAAATGGTTGCAACCATCATAAATCATTACCCCTTTCTTTTCAGCCCTCCCTCAGTCTCTCAGTCCCAGTTTTTTGCCAAAATGCAAATCTCCAAAGTGCTGCACCATTCTGCCACCAGGGGGAATACCTCCAAGCCTCCGGCCCACCCGACGGCCGCCTGTTGGCTGTAACTCAGCAAGAGCCGGCCCATCAACGAGCCTGGCGCAGCGGCTCGGCGCAGCGAATGGCGATGTGAAAAGTCAGCTGCTTGGTGCAGTGACCGAGAACAAAAAGGGACATGCCTCCAACCAGCACCTCCAGGTGACTGTGGGTCCAAACCGGAGGACCCTTGGTTTTTTCAAACCGGAAAGCAAGCAGAATAGAATATACAAGCAGGTCAACCTACAAGGGTTTACCGCTCCGGGTTTTGACCCACATCCCGCTTCGAGTCAGGTCCTGGATTCCCTTCAAATAGGGTCCCGGTCCATAGACCTCCAAGTAGGATCTGTTTTGAACACATCGAGTCAGATGGAGCTCCTGGGTCCTTGAAGCAATGCCTTGGACTGCGATGCCTTGCTTTACTTGCAATAAGAGGCGCCAACCGAAGTAGAAGTGACCAGTGAGGCTAGCCTAGTGACAACTCTTGAGGTCAATGATGTCTGACCTTGGGAATAACAAAGGGGTCCATTTGGAACCATATACCTATTGGTTGTACACGACCCGGGTTCTCCCCTATATCCACTACTGTAACCAATAGCAAAAGGCCATTTATGCCATGCTTGAGGTCTGTGGAGTTTGACATACTGTAGCACCTGACTCTCCAAATGCGACACATCATGCGGGGGTGGAATCTTGCCCAAACACTCCAGGGGACTGAAAGATTGACCAACAAAATAAAACTTTTCAACCACCCAATGTACTGTGTGAAGGAAACCACACCCGACTCTGGTCCCCGAAATGGAGGCTGAAATGCAGACTTCAAGGTCGCAGCTGGTGACCAGATGTCCAACAACAACAAAATGTCCAACATTGTCCAAGGCCTTTTTGACTTTCTTGTGTTTCAAAGACGTGGGAAACTGTGTGTTAAAGCATGGTGTTTCAATCTCGCAGGCTCCATCTCACTTATGGGCCCTCACCGTGCTCACTTCGTCTTGGCGGCAACGACGGTCTCGCTTGGAGCGTCGGTCACTTCGTGGTGAAGCCATGGAAGTCGAGTGCTTTGTGGTTTCATCCCAGTGATTCAGTGATCTGATTCTGAACACGCATGCTTCTGACATTTTCTGACATATGTGTTTTAGATATTTATTGTTGCATAAATATGATCTCATATCTAATATCATACAATAAGGTGTCTGTGTAGTTCGAGTTGTACTTCGTGGAAGACCAAGTCGTCAGCGCGCAACAGCCATCACCTACATGCATCCTTTTTCAAGGCATTCACTGGCTGGAAGACGGGGACGCTCTGGTCGCTGTGAGGTTCAACAGAAAGACCGCACCGGTCGCCGTGGTCGCTGACTGGTCGTTCCAACGTCTGCAGCGATGTGAGGCATGTTGTGAAGAAGTAGAGGCTCTGTGCACTCGTTGAAGGACCCTTTTCCTCGTTCTAAACACACCCGGGTGAGTAGTTGGTACAAGCTTGAGTCAATACGGAAACATTTGCCCCCTTCACTCCGAACATCTGCAGTTGTGCTTGGCAAAGGTCTCGCTGCAGAGCTCCTCACAACTTGTCTGTGGAATATGAAGAAACCCTGCAACAGCTGACATTGGCAGGGCTGATAGAGGAATACGACCTCAGATTCAGATCAAACATCCACCCACCAGCACCCGCCAGCGACCCCCGAAGCATGTCCAGTCCAGTCTGCAATAGCTCACCTCAACACGGACTGGTGCGCCGTACCGCGGTTATGCACCGCATCGCCGCATCGCGGCGAAGAAGGTGAGCTGTGAAGAACATCGGCCTTCCGTTTCCAAAAGCACGTCCCATGAAGAGACGAAGACATGACCCACGTCGCTGAGTCACTGAGTCAGGGTGGTTTGAGACAGGTCCACGATCCATGTAGCGGCATCGCCTCTTCCACTCCTTCTCGGTGCTCACACCAGCTCCTCCCGCTCGTACCGCAGAGACGCCCGTACCGCCGAGCTCGGCGCCGGCAGCGGCAAAGCATCGGCGGAGCTGATGGTGGCGAGGACGAGGCCTGCGAGGTCTGAAAGGGGTCCCAATTCGTACACTTCATGCGGCCAGTACGTGCTAGGAGCCTAATGAAGCAATTGAATTCCAAGGATTTCAAAGTGCCCCAAGAAGAAGGAGGAGGAGAAGGAGGAGGAGGAGGAGAAGAAGAAGAAGGTGAAAAGACCGCCTGGAGCCTGGAGCTGAGTTTCTTTTCAGACCCTGAAGGTCTGATCCTCTGGATGGAAGAAGTCACGGGGATCGGTGAATTGGTGAATGGGTTGATTTACCTCTTGGGGATGGGGGTTCACAGGCAGAAGCAGATTTCTCCGGGTTTGTCAGCTGGGGAATGGGGGTCGAGCTCGACTTCTCAGTGACCCGGAAATATGTAATCAAAGGAGCCTAGTTATAACTGGGTAACCACGCCGGAGTCAAGATTGCGAACGACATCAGTGATTACAATACATATATATATATATACAATACTGCAAAAACACACAAAGTAAAAACCTAAAGTCTTTGACCTTCATTGTTTTTCTGGAAACCTCCCTCAAAGAGCCGACATACGACCCATCACACCATGCCACTTTTGACGACCATGATGGATGATCACCACAGCCGCTACAGCCTGCAGCCACAGGCTCTGTGGACTCTGGGACTGGCAGATTGTACATCAAAAGTGTGCGTGGAAAGGGGGGTCCATACAGGCAAATTTCTTGAAATATGGTTGTGGGATGCTGTGGGTCATGGTTGACTTACCTGGAAGGTTCACCTACCGGCGGATTGGGCGGATTAGGTCTTGTGGTTTCACCTGGTTTCGCAAGTCGCTTCTCCCGCCTTGGCTACTCCGAGCACCACCGCAGGTCTCCGGTTGCTCAGCCACGCCCAAGGCCTGGCTTTGGCAGAGATAAGCCGAGAAGGCAACAGCACCGGGGAGCTGTAGCAAATATCAACGGAAGGAGAGATCCATATGATATATGGATGCGGGACGGATGATCTCCTTCTAGATGTACGAGACAAATACATGCATCTTGGTTGATGTTGCATCAGACTGGAAGTCTATCGTCGTCTACGTCGTCTACTAAAAGAAAATCTGTGGCAGATCTGTGACTGCTTGCTCCTCTTTGCTTCCGTTCAGTGGCACAACTCTTGTGACACCGAGAGCGAAATCGGGCGCCCGACGAAGTGCATCGCCTCGTCTGTGACGGGGGTCACGGCCACCTGGAAGCCAAGCTGTGCGAAGCGCCGCAAGAAACCAGCGATCAGCTGTGGCTCGCGCCTGGGATCCCAAAGAAGCGGTTGGAGGCTTGGAGGGACTGGACGTTGGGATGAGGCACTGGATGAGGCCTCGACCTCAAGGTCGAGATCATGTCTTAGGATGACAGACGGTTGAAGAGAATGTGCACAACAGGTGAAGGGAGGATTCTTGGAAGCTGATGATGCAACTTCTGTCAACTTGTCGACCTCCAGCTGAAACGATCCAAAACACTCATTGACTCATTGAAGATCCAAATGGTGGCGAAGCACCCAAAGCGGCCTGTCCATGATTTTTCCTGATCGTTGACCTTTTGCCAAGAAAACAAAGCACCTGATGAGTTGATCAGTGGTGAAACAATGTCCCAAGTTCTGAAAATTGCAGTCCTAGTCCTTGGGTCCAGTCGCCCAAAACGGTCGGATGACTGCGGGGGGAACGGTTTTTTTCTAGTCGAAGTTCGGCAAACAGTCCAAGGGGCCATGATGTTGTCAAGATATGGATCTTCTCGTTGTTCTTTTATAAATACATTTGGCCAACATGATCAACATGGTCACTAGAAAACGTTCAACTGTCCCAAATGAAGCAAGATTGACGTGTGCTTGTCTGGTCAAGGTCCAGTAGAGAACATCTGTTGTCACCCGTCAAACGGATCAAATCACATCCACTCAATGTCATCGGGTGGGGAGCTCCAGAAGCCCACCATGATTGGCCGCCCCATGGATGGGTGGTTCTAAGAGACAATGGTCAACATGTTTTAAGATGTCTGAAATGGATCAACCCCTGGATGGTTGCGAAGAGATGTTTTAGCAATTTAAGGATCATTCTAATAGCCAAAATATGCCATAGATTCCATGGATTTGTCTAGTGAGCGAATGTGTTGCGTCGACACCAGCCGTTGGAAGATCGGTCGATGTATGACCCAAACACCAACCTATCTGGGACTGGCAAATGACCGACCAGTTGGGGCCTGTTGAATGGGGGTTTCATCGTCCATAGTAGGTAAAGATTCCATACATGACATGAGGTGTTCGTGTTCATGCTCAACAAGCACGAAACCCATCGTGATGCAAAACTCAAGAATGCAAGGTTACCTGGGTCATCCAATGGGTGTCCAATAGACCTGGTATAATGCATCAAAGTGCGATTTCTTCCACTGTGTTCACCTGACACGCTGGTGATTTCTTTGTCACGCTGCAATGCAGCGGTCATCGGGAACTGCCGTGGTTGCAGCGCGAAGACCGCTGCGAGGGCACGAGCTCGACCATCTCCGCTGTGGTTCAGCAGCTGGGTGGTGCTCTCCTTGGACTCCAAAACGGGTGGGGCCACCAAATGTTGAAGGTTGATTGGGTTGAGGAACACAAATTGGACATAATTCGACCTACCAGCATGGTTTTACAAGTTTCTACATCTCCAGGTGGGGGGGGTTATGAATCAGCGGTCAACAAAAAGATCAAAAAAGCAATTAGGGATTCCATCATGCAGGTTCTACTGGCTACCTGTCCAAATCGAGACCACTGGGGATGTGTTCACACTCCAGACCCGAAAGAGACCACCCTCCGCTTGGCTAACAAGGCAGGTCTCGAACAAGGCGTCCACAGGAAAGCCATCATAGACCTGGGTAAGACATGCGTGATCGCAAAACGTTGCATTGGCAGAATCACCTTCGATCTCTCCAGGACGGCCCCATGCTTTCACGAGAAAGCCTCAAAGAATATGTAGTGACATGGACCGTAGAAAGACGCTTGATAAACAACACCTCAGGCCTGAAGAAGTGTTTCAATCCAAAATGAAAGGGTGTTTTTCAATCATTTTTTATATTGTTGTATTCATCAAGATTCTACTTGTTGCTGCTGCTGAATTCCACCAAATGCTTCCTTTCAGCTCCTTGACTCTTCGACCCCAACCACGTGCACGTCGACAACGCCGAGCTGTGTCGCTTCGGTGACCGGGGGCGCCCGGCCAGGTCGGCGCCGAGGACGAGCTGTGCCGCACAGGGCGCGGGGCCTTCACCCCAGGCGAACGCCTCAAAGCCTCAGATGTTTGGACCGAGGAGGCGGTGGGCCGCTGGTGGGTTGAAGAGAAACTGGTGGCTTCGATGAGTGGCGTCACTTAGACATGTTCTCAGAAAGTTCCAGAATCTCGACTCTGGAAGTAAACCTCCGCAGGCCTGAGGCCCGAAGAGGTTTTGCGGGATGATTCATGAATCCACATTAGAGGGGCTCACCGAGATCGAACTCCACTTCGACCACCAAAAAAAGCCGTCCCATCACTTGGTCGCTGGATCCGCTCGAGGTTGGACGTGGGCAACTTATGTTGCTCTAGCTTGCGTGACCCAAGTGCCAGAATGACAAATACTTCTCTAAATGGGATCAGGGTAAGGAGACGTTGATAAAAACACATCAAAACCCTACACCCCGATTCTATCATCATGGAAGTCGGAGGCCGGAGGAAGATGGGACAATGGTCACCCGTTCTTCGGGGCCATGCCATCAACTTCCAGTCACCCATTCCAGACACTCCCCCTCCACTCATCCATGTCCACTCCATCCGACTGTCACAACCAAACTCTTGCAAGGCTTGGTGGGTCCATACACAAGTGGCACTATATATCTGGCTGCAGGTCAAAACCAAGGGTTTGGGACACCCCCAGGAGAACAGAATCTTCAACTTGGGAGGTCAACCTTCCCATGTCCTTTCTTTGAAGAGTTTTGGCTGTTCCAGGTGCTGACCGTATTATATAATACAGCCAGAACATTGCAAGAATTGCAACTGCGGATTGCGGTTTCAATCATCCCAGTGGGTTCCAGTGGGTTCAATCATCCCAACACCGCTTGGCACCGAGCGGCGGACATGGCGCTTCGCCCGGTCTGAGAGGCCCTCCATGCGGCCATCTGTGGCCACCGTTCTCCTCGTCTAGTAGGAAGATGAAAGATGATAAACGTTTTTTGCATTCTGAGCTTCCAGATGTTGAGCTTTTGTCGAGCATTGACATAGCGTGACATGGCATTTAAAAAACACACACCTCCTGGAGGGAGATGGAAGTGGCCCTCCATCTAGTGATGGCACTGAGAAACATCCAATGCTACCTAGCACCTGGAGGCTCCTGGCTGTCCCTTCCATCCTCTGCCGAGGTGCACCTGGTCCAAGACCTCCGGATGGTCGGTAGCACACACCTGTGGCAGGTGACGAAGCCCGTGATGTTCACGGTCGATGGCTCTTGAGATGTGGGTTTTGGCTGGAAGTGGGTGGAAGAGCTGTATGAAAATAATGTTGAGATATACGGTAGAAGTGTCACTTGGATAGGGAGTGTATATTGTATGAGATTAGGAATTGTGTGGATCTGTATATTCACGCACTCTGTTCAATCCATGTAGAGCCACGCCACGGTATCACACAGGGTTGTCGCAAGGCAAAAAAGTTCCCACTGCTCGGATGCTCATCCCTCAGTCGCTGAGCTTGTTGGAAAGGACCAGCTGAAAAATGGACCACTTGTCAAACACATGGTCACGCTCTACCAGTAGGGACAACATGCTGTGCTACATTCATTATTTAAATATACCAGGTAGACTTCTGCCCAATAGGGTCAACCATCTCTTACACATGGTGCTGCTTTGGGTACTGAATGGTACTGATAGACATCTAAACCTGTTTTCCACAAACCCACGCTTCTCTAAAGGCTGCAATCTTCTCTAAGTCACACTGGCTCAAAGACTTCCCACCAAAACAAGGGCATCGCTACTAGTAGCTTCTAGGTAGCAATGCCCTTGCTACTAGTTGCGATGCCCATGTTACTAGTAGCTTCTTGTTCCTACTCGTAATGCCCTTTGCTACTAGTAGCGTCCTTGCTACTAGTAATGCCCTTGTTGCTAGTAGCCTCACTTTCTTTCTTCCAACCGCGACCGGCCTCGGCACCGAGGCTCCCCAGTGCCATGGAGAGGAAGGGAAGCCCACAGCCCAGCCTGGGATGGGCGAAACGCAGCGATTTTCCGTTGAACAGCTTCGGTGATCACCAGTCTAAAGCCGCTGTTTTTGGCCCCAAGGGCCACCTCCTGGAGAAAACACCCTGAAAAAGCGGAAGGAAAAGACACACACAACATCCCTGAAGACCTGGGTCTCTGCCGGTCCATGGTCTTGCACTCTGTGCCATGTGATGGAAAGTGCGTCCACTGTAACCATCGCATCATTCCACAACGACGAGCAGAGACTCCGACACCAAGCCCAGCAAACTCCTTCAATTCCCAGGAACTCCAGAACCTTCAGGCCCTTCAACTCATAGTGTTCCTGAGCACTCGAGGCGTACCGTGGCGCTACTGACGCACGGCGGTCGTGCCCGTTCATCGGACCATTGGCTCGGAAGGTTGGTCGAAGAGGAAGGGTGGCTGGCCAGTCATGTAAACTCTTGATTATTGATTAAGAACCCCCCAGGCCTGAAGAGATTTACAATCCAAATGTGGGGATCATTCACCAAGAGTCTACATGATTCTTATTTGCTAATTATTCAATTACCAATACCTAACTGGATCCTCCAACAGGCCGGTGTTAAAACCAAAGGGCTCAGGCGGTCGCGACCTCTCATCAAGCTCAGTGGGTCAAAACCTTTCCCAGCACAAACCATTGTCAAACCATGGTAGGTTGACGTCCCTTACAAAAGAATCTGATGTTCAGGGTGGTAAAACCTACACTGACTCACACTAAGAAACCAAGCAAGTGATTTGGAGAATGACATGCTCGGAGATTGGTTGTAGAGCAAGTTTGAGTCATTACCATCTCCTGCGGATGTCCAAAGACGTTTCGCAGATGATCAGAAAGACACCGAGCATCGTAGACATGTCCCAGCAAAGCCAACGCTCCCGGCCAGACCTGTAGGCAGTTCCAACCATCAAGCATCAAACATCTGCTACAGCTACTGGTCAGTGAACAGTGTAGACTTAGAGCTAGCACAATAGATCGAAACAATTTCCAGTCCAAATTCAACTGTCTGTCTATTTTCGGGTGACACCAACACATAGTATAACAAACTCTTTCAAACAGCTCCATCTTTGAGGCACCTTGTTTCCAGACCACTTCCCCGTGGCATCCGTCTCTTCCCGCAACGCCAGCAGCTGATCTCCTTCCGCTGTGCGCAGGACGTGCCGTGCGCGGCGCACGCGACAGCTGCCACCAGGCGAAAGGTCGCTTCCAAGGGCCGGAAGTAGAAAGCAAGCGATGATTCTGGAGCTCATGGTCGACCTAGGACATGTCGTGGCAGGAGTTGTCATTGATCGGCCATCAAGTTTTACTGGTAGTTGCTGGATGTTATTGTCATATTCGATCAGGAACATTTCCCTACTGTAGTCACGTTAAAAACACGCGATTTGGAGAGTGTGTGTGTGTGTTCACGGGTGTGCTGCCTCCGCCTTCGCTGCCTCGACTCGGTCGCTTCGGCGGCGTCCCCATGGGTCGCAGCCGAAGAGTGCTACAGAAATCCAACAAATGCTATGACATCTGATTCCACAAGCCAGTCGTTCCACCTTGAAATTGCGGGGCCAGGTGAGGTGCCCCACATTCAAATAAACAACTAAAGAACTGAGTTCTTCGTGTTTTGCTCTGCTTTGGTTGGTAGATGCATGTGCTCACGCTTAAGTTTTCCCCAAAAGTAGCAACCTGCGACGTATCTAGGGCTTGGAAGATTCTGAAGACGCATCTTCAGATGTCATGGGGTTGTAGGCCTTCCAAAAATGGTCTTGTAGGCCGAACCTCTGAGCAACAAATGTCCCAGGAAAGGTCGGCGCTGTCGTCACCTGTCGTGTTCCTTCTCTTCCACATGCAGCTTTTCACTGGTCTCCTTCGCGAAAGGCCACAGCTGCGGTCCTCTTTCACGGCTCAAACAAAGGCCAGCTCCGGTGGTTTGTAGCTTTACTGGCCTTCCAAACATGGCCTTTGGCCTGAAGAGATAGGTGTGGTTGGGAAAAAATCCTCCCCAGTGCTTCTGGAGATTTTGCCACTTCAGATTCAAACTGCCAGTGACCTCTATTAAACCACCAAACCCAGAACCCTTCGTTTGCGGCGTACATCCATCATCACCTGAAATGTCGACCCCAACTGTGCCGCTGTGCCCCCCTCTAGAGACTCGAACAATGCCCATTCCAATTGAGAAAACACGGATTGTTCATGTCTGGACAACCTCGGTCAACCCCCCAGAGAACCAGGCAGAGTTAGATTCACCTGCCCCGTGACCGTGATCTATGTCGCTTTTTGACGGAAACTAACCAAGAAAGCATTCTCAAGCTGAAAACAGCTCCAAATATACAAACGATGGTGTTTTCTTGATGAGTCACATCAGCCAGCAGAAACAACATTAAATCACGATCATGTTTTCTCCCCAGTGTTCAAAGGGAAAGGACTGGCAACACCCAGTCGTTGGGGTCTCCAACATACGGTCGCCGACGCCGGAGGTCGACTGATGACCGGTTTCTCCGAGAAAAACAAGACAAGGACGCAGTGACATGGAACAAATCCAAGGCTGGTGACCGCCCCATCACCCTATTACAGCCCTTGGTTACAATGACTGCACATGACTGCACTTATAAAGTACTTCTCCCGTATTCTTTAATGAAAGCTCTGAGTGTTCCATAGCTGCTACACTCCACAAAGATCGGCGGGCGCCTGCGTTGATGTGCAAGCTTTGCAAAGTATCAAGCTCGGAGTTCCGTCCCGTAACACCTGCAGCGACGATGCGTTCGGGGATGTTTGTTTCTCCGAAAGGAGACTCATTGAGTCCAAAGAAGCTTGTCCATGTCGAAGGTGGTTTCGCACACTACCACATTGCCTGCAGAGAGTCGTTGGCTTGTGACCGGAGGTGTGTCTTTACGTTTGGAAATTCATTGATGCCAACTGACTGATTAATCCGTTCAGGTCGGCGAAACAGCGAGAAGACGACTGGTGACCGGCTAGGGCGCCCTGGGTTCGGCACAGCGAAGGAAGATCTTTGAAGCCTCGTAGTTGCTAAAGCATCTCAAAGACTGACAAGGTGCAACAGTACTGTCATATTCTTGATCCACCAGGGTTTGTTGCACCACTTAATATGATATCTATATATATATATAAACACCTTGTTAATATACAATTATATATATAATGCTCAGAACTCCTAGCTCAAATCCACAGAACTGTTCTGGGCAACCGACCCCAGCAAGACACAACGTACGGAGCTGAAAAGCTGGCAACAACGATTGGTCACACACTCCCTGTCCCTAGGGCTCCAACCGCGCAATTACACTATAGAAGACAGTCCCCCCGTGGCACCCAACCCAACCACCTTCTCTTCGGATGTGCTTGGAGCACCCAGGGTGTCAGGTCAACTCACCTCCCTAGCACTTCGGGCCCGACTGGGGCCAGTGTTCCGCGAGGTGCGGTCGGGGAGATCCTCCTCGCCGTGCCGAGGAGTCACCCGGCAGTGGAAGTCTCAAATGGAAGGGGTCTGAAGAGTCTCAGTTGATCCATTTTGGAGGGACCTCTCGGGATATTTTGTCAGCGTCCCACAAGTCGTTCATGCCGACTTCTCGCAAGAGCTCACTGGTTTCATGATTTTCTTCGACTTGCTGGAATACCTGTAATGTGTGTGTGTGTGGTGTGGTGTGTGTGTGTGTGCGTGTACGTGTGAGTTTCTGTGTGTGCATGGACAAATGATAGTCCCCTGCTGAGACGTCAACTCCTTCTGCATCACCTTTGGTATTTCATGCACTTTTTGCGCTAAGGGCGGTGTGTGTGTGTGTGTGTTGCACCAGTATACTGTATCCCACGTGTGCCCTTTACTTGCACTTTCTGTGCAAAAGCACTCTTGGAACTAATCAAAGCAAGGTCTTTTCTGGGACTCTCCGGCATTCTCCGCAGCTTGGTGACTTTGGTTCAGATTCCTAACACCTTTGAGACAAAGATACACTGAGTGCTGTTCTTGCCCTTCCTGGCTCTAGCAGCTTCTGATAGGTCCTCACGATCCTGCGGGTGATGTGCATCGAAACGACCAGCTTCTTTCAGATCCATGTGCTATCTTAACAAGAAGCTAGTAGAAACTAGTAGTAACAGGTGCCTTACTAGTAGTAACAAGAAGCTATTAGACTTAAGTTTAAAGATTCCTCGTTCCAATCCCGGGGACTTCATGGTGGCATCAGCTGATTGTTCTCGCAGGCTGAAGCTTCAAGCACTGGTCATGCCTGGTTGTTCTCTGCACCAGCTTGACCCGCTGGGGCCCTTTCATCGAAGGATTTGCTTCCAAACTTTGCCAAAGTGATACGTGTTCGCTTCTGAATTGGCAAACTTTCTGCATGCACCAAATCAATCATTCAGACACACTTTCTGATTCTGAAACGCGCATCACTTCAGGTCATGCTTTGTGCACGTTTGAGATTCCGGTCTACTTGGTCTACTGGGTATGGAATCCTATGGAACTTCGAAATCTGATGGACAGGGGTCCAAAGACTTTATACTTTGTCTCTAGAGCTTTCTTTTTGACATGGTGGATGTCCAGGATACAATGAGAAGCTCTCCCAAGCCAGAAGTTCTCCCAACACCCAGAAGTTATGCCAACCCAGAAGTTCCACAGACGGTGAGACGGTTGACTTCGCTTTGGGGCTCCCTTGGTGTGTGAACCGATAACGCGCTTGGTCAAACCACCGCGAGGTGCCGTTCCATGTCATTTGCGCTGCGTGCGCTCGACAAACATACTGAGGATACTATAGGAACTGACGGACTGATTAGTGGATAGTGTCCCTAGTAGCTTCTTGTTCCTAGTAGCGATGCCCTTTGCTCCTAGTAGTTTCTTGCTCCTAGTAGTAAGGCCAGGAGCCCCTAGAAGCGTCCTTGCTCCTAGTATCCCAATCATCTATGTCTGATCTCAAAGCCGTGGAAGAGAGTGGCAGCGGAGCATGTCCCGGCGCAGTGGCCGATCGACTCGGGGCCGAACGGGCTTCACCGTTCGTTTCCACGAAGAGACTGGCGAAGCGGGCGAAGCGCTCCCAGTGGAACAGCAGTGATCTGCGCAGTTCGTCGGAAAGCAGGTCCATCTGGCCCTCCAAACAGTTCTGGTTGAACAAGAGCTGCCATGATCACACAGATCGCAGATTGGAGGGGAGGATGAGAAACCGTATAACTTATTCAAATCCAGTCTCCTTGACACAAAGCTTGTCGCAAAGCTTGTGATGTTGAGAAGATTGAACATGATCGATGTCGATGCGTGTTCAAACATAGTGAAACTGCGCACAACTTGTTGTTTGCTATGTCCCTGGTATTTCAGAAACGCTGATGGGACATGATTGGACACTCACATCATTGATGGGTAGCGTACCGCTTCCTTTCCGCTACCTAAATCCAAAACACTGAACACTCCCGGGCCCATATACCGTTCCTGCACAGGCAAGGCTAAGGACAATGGTGGCAAGGCGGCCTCACAGTAGGTGCGGCGCTGGCGCGACAGAACGACCCAAGATTCTGGAGAACAGCGATCTTGTCCGCACTGATCTGAGAATTATCAGCATGATAGGCATTTGTTCTGGTGCTCGAGGCACCAATCCGACATATGATCCTGGCACCAATTACTGGCACTCCTCCAATATACATACCTAGAAGGTGTTCTCTTGGCTGAAATGTATTGCCTTTTGTGTCGGCAAGAGCGGCTCTTTCCGGGTGCGGACATCAACTCTTTCCAGGTGCTCTCCATACGACGACGCTGGAAACGTCGGGACGGAACGTAACGTCAGGACGTCCTCGAGGTGCGCGCGCAATGCACTGTACCGTTGTTGTTTTATAAGTTGGCTGCCTTGCAAACCAACGAAGAAAAAGAAGGGCGGGTGGTCATTCTCAAATGTGTGGGAGTCCTCTCCGAAAGTGGCCACTCGGCCGCTGAAATGTCTTGGTTTTCCAATGTGTTTCAACTGGGGCTGTGAAGCTAATTTTTCGGGGAAGAATGCAAAGATCTTCTCCCTTCAAGTTGGACATGCGACTCAATAAGGCATGAAAGATTTCACCCATCCACCGGCTGGTGGAGAGAGATGAGCGGTCCTTTGACCAAAGAGACTCATACATGATCACTTTCCCAAGTTCGTTGAAACTCTCAACGACCTGACCGTGAATCTTGTGCAAATAAGACGACAAGTCCTCCATATACCAATAAGAAAGAATTATGATGGAAACAAAGACCAAAACAATACATCCAAGCTGATCAGAGAGTATCATGAATTGCCGCTGCCATATCTCAGAACTTTCATACGCAACCCGACCTAAAACCACCTAGGACCTGGGAACTTTCTTCACCGAGATCTCCCTCTCATCCAAACGTCCCTCCATCCGCCTGTTCCTCTGTCACTGGGGAGAGCTGCTCTGGCACCACCTGCCCAACGATGCCCAGCTCAGGTGGGAACTGATCTGGCTCAGCTTCTTTTTGGTGCGCTAAGTTGACATGCTTTGCCTTGACGTTGAGAAGGATATGTTTTTGGA